GACTAAATTTAGTGAATGGCTATGATTTTTATTTTTGATTGCATGAGAGTGCAAACTAGCAATATGTCGGAAGAAAGTCAACAACGCGTCAGGGGTTAATTTGCACCGAAATGTTGCCTTTGGGTGCACTGCCTCTTTCTGCCCCAGAGTAATAATCTAGATTGAGCCTGCGATCCAATCGAAAACCCAGTAACTGGTCAGCGGTAAACGTCAAAAAACCACGTGACCTCGATGAGCCCTTCACCTGAGCCCGCGATATGGTCATGTGATAGTGGTCAGCAGATACCTTGTTTTGACAGCTGTCAACAGGACAATCACTTGGAGGGCATATAGTTTATTTGCGGCCCCAAATGATGCTACGAGGGACACAAATAAACTAATGCCCAAGAAGTCATTTGATCATCATTATTATCAATACTCAAGGCCAAGTCGTACAAATTCAGTTAATAAAAAATGTGTAAAAGAAATGTAGCATGAAACTATGATATGGAAAGTTGTTGCTACAATACGATTAGCTAAACAAGAGCCAAATAAAATTCCTTTCCGTTTACAATAACAGTCAAATGTAATCTAGTTTTAAAAAGATTAGTAACAATGATTAGCAAAATTCAAATGTCTGCCTTGTAAGCTCCCGCCATCCCTCTCTGCCGCGGCGAGCAAATGAAAATGCAACGAAAACCAAATAAACTCAACTAACTTCTCCGCATCTTTCCAAACGCCGTCCGTGTTCTGCCCTTCCATGAGGTATCGATTCAATTTCTACCTGTCTCCTGACTGAATAGATGATTTGTGTTCTGGTTTCGCATCGTTTTCTTTCGTAAATAGCTTGGCCTTCGCTTCAAACATTTTGTTGGCAGACATGAATTCGCTGTATTGCAAAATGTTCATGTTTTGGCTGAGTGGAGCACTGGTTAGATGGCGATGAATGACCGCTCTAATTCCAGTCAATACACTTGGAGCAATGCTTGACCTTTCCCTGTTTTCCCTTTAGCGAAGAACTTTCGCAGAATTTCACTCAATCCGCTGGACTCACTTGTTTTCTTGGTGTTTTTCGCTTGGGCTTTTTGCTCAATTTCATCGTCCGAGTTTTGACCAGACAAAAGATGAAAATTTGGGACTTCAAAATCTCCAAATGTCAAACGTTCACTTCAGAACTACAAAGTGAGTAAGTGCAAACTCATCCACAAAAATTCGCGCCAACTCTAGCATTGAAATGGCATCCTCGGGATCTCATTGGCTGAGCGAAGTTGTTTGACATCTCTGCAGCCAATCAGAATCAGGGCGGCAAATGCATTTTCAGCCCGCGCATTTCCCGTTTGGCCCGCAAAATGGCACGTTTTACAAAGGGCAGTTTGTCATTTGGCGACGCGTATTGATATTAATCATAATATGGATGTCCAATATCAAAGATGCACCTTTTCAAGGTATGGGGCTTGGCGTACGGACAGTCATGTGACAAGCAAAATTTTTGAGATCGACGGGTATGGGGCTCCACTCGCACGCAAGAGCTCCGCTATAATTTACTGGTAACAACTGATATAAGATGTTTGCTTTAGTCGCCATTTGGCTCAGAACTACTGTATTTTAAATTCCGACTTCTCGTCGCGAGGTGTCAAATGCCAGCTACAAGTTCCTGCCGCCGTAGGCGTCATGCAGAGACTTGAAACGATGCCAAGCAACAAATTTCGCATACTGTATTTCGTGGACTGGACTGCACTGGACTGGACTTGTAAAACGCAGACTTGTAAAACGCGCACTAGTAAAACACGGATTAGTAAAGTGAGGACTAGTAAAACGTGGACTTTTGAAACGCGGACTTGTCAAAAACTTGTACTAAACTTGACTTGTACTAGAACAATTGTCTTTATTTGAATGATCATCTCTCATCCAGAGAACTTCAATACTACTCAAGTGTATACTTCTAACATACTTAAAGCCACCAAGTAACATTACATCCATTTCATGCGTTCTATTAAATAAATGACAATTAATTTCGGCCAAAATTCGGAATAAATTTTCATTTGTAATTATCGCTCGAAGATGGCGGCTTGTTTCAAGCTACCATCTCTCGCTAAAAGGTTAACACCTTTACCTCAATTTCTGGAATTTAAATGGAGTGAAGTAAGAATAGAAACAGAGTTGGATGTGGGACGTTTGAATCTGTTTACCTTGTGAAATATGACAAAGAAGACCGTCGAAATGTCATTGTAAAAAAATGAAAGGTAAGTCGAATTTTGGCTCGATTTTGGTGATCAAAGGTCAACAGACTCTTTCCCGTTACGTACTTTGCTAACCATACAGTTCTCTTCTATAAATTTACAATTACATACCCTGCACAGCTCTGTTCTTGAGCTGTTGAAGGCTGTTGAAATTATTGCTGAAATGCAATTGTTCCATTCTCAGAATGTATAAAGCGTATTGCGTGACGGAAAGCATGATCTTTGAAGGTCTAGTGTGACCGTAATCGGTAAGATCGTGACATCATATGATAATCATGTTCCTGTTGACTTTTTATTTTAGATGTTTCTGTTTCTCTTGTTAGGAATAATTTGAATAATTTGAAGTTCTTCAGATGAGAGATGATCGTTCCAATCGATAATTGTGGCTGGAAAAGAAAGCTGTAAAACATAATAACATAAAACCTTTATTTTAACACGATAAGAATTAAAGCTACAAAGCTGGTGGGGTTTTGTATACTACTGAATTAAAATACTAAATACGGAGCTAAGATCAAAGTATCAATCCAGGCTTAAAATATTACACGTTTCTAAAAATACACAAAATCACCATCTCTATATCGAGATGTGGAGAGAGCTGAACTGTCGAAAAGAAAGTCTTTAAATACCATTTGCTAATAAGTAGTCTTTTAATTTCCTTAAAATATAAATGATCTATTTTATCAGTATAATTAACTAAATTCCAGAGGGCTGACCTGCGAAAGGCTAGTGAGTCTCTCATTAATCTGCTATTGCATCTGGGCATCGATGGGAAAATGTCATTATTTGAGTTATAGAATAGTTTAAATATTTCCACTTTATAGTTTAATCTGATTGTAATCCAATTTGCAAAGTTCAAAACTTGGCCAAATGCCATATCCTTAGGTAAATTAAAAATGATCCTAGCGGCCTGACAATGAATTTTCTCATTTGAGCTAATAATGTCGGAGTCACAGCATGCACCCCACAAAACAAGGCCACAAACGATAGATGGCAAAATTACATTAGGACTTCCTTCGGTAAAAACTTAGAATGTTTCACTAATTCTAATTTGTTGGCAAAGCCGCGGGTTTTTGTGACATAGCGCAATATTGAGTTTCCTAGATACGTCGGGGGTTAGAGGTCCCATGATAGATGTCTTAGTGAATAACAAAACTTCCCTTTTTCCTGAATGTGGTGTCAATCGATTTTCCAGACAACATCTGTAGACTTCTTGCAAAGTTATATATCCGCATCTGCAGACTTTCCAATGCAAAAGACTGCTGTTGAAATTGTTACTGAAAGGAAATTGTTCGTTTCTCAGAAAATAAAACGGTATTGAAAGGTGACAGCTCCTCACGTGACACCTTGCGTGACGGAAAGCAACCGACGGAAAAAAGTATGGAAAACAGAAATATTGATTAAGTTTAGAATTTAAAGTTTTGATGCGGCCAAATTAATTGCCATTTATTTAATAGAATGCAAGATTTGTTTGCATGGAATTAGGTATTTGAAGTTCTTTGGATGAGAGATGATCGTTCAAATAAAGACAATTATTAGTACAAGTCAAGTTAAGTACAAGTTTTTTGCTAGTCCGCGTTTTTCAAGTCCAGTCCAGTCCAGTCCAGTCCAGTCTTCTAAATACAGTATGCCAACAAATTTGCTTTCTATTTGCTTTCAGAAGCATATATACAGAATGTACAGTACTTACTATGCTTAGCATACTGTCTTATTCATGATGTAGAATAAGGGTAATGATTATTATTTTTATTATTTTTTTCATTGACAATTTCATACCGCGCTTTAGATTCCCTACAGAGTTTTTATCCTGAGACGTTTTCAGTTCGCATTTTTTTCAATAAAAGGTTTTCTTTCCAGGAATAAAACGCAGCAGAGAAAGCACTTTACATAGAAACAAATTCCAAGAAATCTCGCCAAAGTTAACCTCAAATTGGATGAATCCACAAGCGATGCGATAACCTTTTCTGAAAGCTTAGAGCAATGACACCGGGCAATGACAGCAATGCGAAGGAACATTCAATTCACTGTCACTTACTGCAACAATCGTGAGTTTTTTTTCTCGTATCCGAATACATCTTAACTGTTTCTCCACCGATCCTTGAAAGATTTTCTCAGGTAATTCTCTTGAAGTTCGTCTATGGACTAAACCTTCCGCCAAGGTTCTTTGCAGTCGCCATGGCCAAAATCACATCATACCAGCCGTTCTTTAACTTCTCAAATAATTTAAGTGAAAAACTAACAATTTGCGATCAGATGTTGTCCTCAATGTTAAGGAGGATAATAAATCTAGTCTTTAAAGGCCTTAAACGTAAAACAATCCAGATGGATGCCTCAGATTATAAAGGACTGAAGAGCGAAACGATCGACAACAACAAATTGGAGGTTTCGTGGTCCACAACAACGACGCGTGCAATGCATGCCGGTCAACAGAGAGTCTTTAATTTTCACTTTGCCTGTGCATTAGATTTCACTGCAACTGATTCAGTAAATCAGTCCGTCCATCTGTCCGTCCGTCCATAAGTTAGTCAGTCAGTCAGTCAGAGAGTCACTATGTCTATCTGTCCGTCTGTCTGTCAGTCAGTCACTTGGACAGAGAGAGCAAGTTCAGATTTTAGGTGTATAGTATCTAGACATGGAGACCAGCATACAAAGACACCAAGAAATAGGGAAAATTATTTCACTTATTTTTGTTGCAAAAAGCAGTGATTTAACTTTTACCTGGCATGCATTTAGAAGTTGCAGTCTGTACATATTTATAGTGTTTCTGTGCTCGCTTTCTACCACCTATAACAGTAAACAAGAAAACACATTAATCATAGAGAAAAAGCTTCAGCATTAAAAATTATAACATTGTCAGCCACAGGATACTCCGAAAGCCAGTATAAGATCATGGAATAGACACAGAGGTAAAAAGATAGGTTATTCAAATTCATCACAATTCATCAAATTCATCATCACCTTCTGAAAGGGCAAAATCGTTTACAGTAAATATAATTGACGCAAGTCACAGTGTTATCTCTCCAGATGAATTTAATCAAACAACACTTTCGGCAGCAAAATTAAGTAGAAAAAAACGGAACAAACCAGTCATATTATTGATTTTTGCTGATGGATGACGTAGTCACTCCATGAGCTTAGAAGGCAGTCCAATGGCCCTCCCTCCCTCCTTCTCTCCCTCCCTCGCTCCCTCCCTCCCTCACTCACTCTCACTCTCACACTCACTCACTCACTCACGCACGCACTCACGCACGCACGCACACACTCACTCACTCACTCACTCTCTCTCACTCACTCACTCACTCACTCACTGACAAGGCTTAGGTTAGGATGTCACGCATTACGAATACAAACTGGAAAATATGAAAATAAAGGAGCATCAATCCCAGTAGAGGAAAGAACATGCTTNCCCTCCCTCCCTCCCTCCCTCCCTCACTCACTCACTCCATTCTGATTAATTTATTCATTAAAGTTGGATTAAAGTTGGATTTTCTGAAAGGCCGTTCTATTACGGAAAATATTTGTTTAATCAATGTTATTTCCTATACCCACTTGAAAGATATTCCTGGATTACTCTTTTTTATCGATTTCGTAAAAGCATTCGATACTATTGAATGGACCACGCTTTAGCAGTTTAACTTTGGTTCCTCTTTAATTAATTGGATCTTAAAAACGGCTCGATAGATTTTTAAGCGATGACGTAGTCGTCGCTTAATGCTGGCGTGCAGCATTCCTTTGGATAGTAATTTTGCACGTTTTTCGTGCTGCGCTTATGCCACGCACGATTTATCCCTCGGTGGAGCTAAATGCACTCTGGGAGCTAGTAAATAAGACACACCAAAAATTCGCTGTCTTTGGTTTCGGAGAGTGAGAAACTTGTCCTTTGCAGCAATCGTTTGCAGTTTGTGGGATCTACGGAGAGCCTTTATTTTCAGTATTTAAACAAAGATTTTGGGTGTGGATTATGCTTTATCCAGAATCGGATAAATTTGTGCTCAAGGACAAACTCATAATAAGAGCATATCGTCCATACATACAACTTTAGATCAACAAGCAAGTTGCACACACAATAGGTCAAGGGTCCACATTAAATTTACGTATTTGTGAGCGCTGTGTAGGCCGGACCTTTGCCTGTCTTGAAGTGAATTGAAAGAGCAATGTCAGAGCACCGTATGAGCATTGTATGAGCACTGAAATATCTGAACTAAACTTATCTGTGGACTGAAATGTTGGTGAAATTGAACTTGAATTGAAGAAGAGTATTGACGAAATTCGCTGTCAAACCAGTTGAGATACCAGAAAGCAATGGAGAACAGTGTAACGAAAAGGTGAGCTACCTGAAGGTTGTAGCATCGACAAAGTGTTGGTTAGATTTCCAGTTGTTAAACGCAGGTATCGGGACTGTAGTGATTGTTGCATTTTATCCATTGTCTTTTAGTTAGGCAGGGGTCACACTAACAGAATCGATGTTTACATTGGACATAAATTCTGTCATCGCATGCTCACGACATGTGCGACCCTTATGTCGCGATCATATCAGACATAACTACGTCTATGACACCTTAAGATCAAGGAGACTGATATCCTGCCACGAAACAGGTCACATCTTGCCTAATGGCCTTAAAAAAAAAATTATTTTTTCTTTCGTTGCAAATTATGTCAATCAAATCAGATTTCACAATACACGCACGCATCGTGTGTACAGAGCTCTCTCTTCAACATTTTCCCAATTGTTACAAAACGTTATCAGTTGTAATTCTTCAGTATGGCCAACCACTTTAACCCTTTGAGCCCTAATTACGCACATACGAGTAACTGATGGTCGTGCTCTTTGTTTCACTTGTGACGTCATCAATTTAAATGTCATCAGATATTCTTGATAAGCAGATAGTAGAACAACTAGGCTAGACCTTTCCGTACATTGCTCAGGTTAGGATATCAACGACATTCCGACGTCTCAAATCGAAAAACACGTTATCAGTTTTGGTGTAAAAACGGTGGTAAAATGGTCCACTATGCCTATGATTGATCAAGGTCCATTTCTAGGCTTCGCTTGTAATTAACATTCACCTTTTCTCGGCAGCCAGAAAGAACATGCAACGCAAAAGGTAGCCAGAGTAAAAGGGCCGAGAATAAAAGAAAGGAAAGGGACAACAAACAAAATTGAGAACGGATAATGGCAAAAAAAAAAGAAAGAATAAGAGTCCAAATTTTGACTTATGCGCATGCACAAAATTGACATGTTGCTCAATTTTGTACGTAATCCTCGAAAATCTCTCCTTTTGGTAAAAAAGGCTTTCTTAGCAAAACTTAGGCTTATTCAGCGTCATGGCAGCCAAAAAAACCTGACTAAACGGTTAAAAACTGTATTTTTTTTGACGAAAGTTTGGTATTCAAAGGGTTAATCCGTACGAATTTCAACGCTTTCAATTTTCATAGCATAGGGGAAATGACTCGCAGCCGATTTGTCTTCAGCAGCAAAACGCACATCCACAAGCAGCTTTGTCGTTACCTCCCAGTCTAGAGTAGCCTTCAGTCACACAAAGGAAGCATCCTCGGAGAGAAAACGTCTACAAAGAAAAAGTCTAGCCAAAGGGAGCGATGATGCTTTAACGATGAGAAAGTCCTTTTCAGCTTTCGGCCGATAATATAATGATTATTATCAGAATGGTATCATATATCTTTTATGTCGCAAACGTGCGACCCCACTAACCCTCTGGGGGTAAATGTCCCAATAACCTTGTGTGACAAAAACAAAAAAGTCCACAGTGCGACCCATGTCTTACGTTTAAGCATCAATCTCGTACCTCGAGTCTTCGTTCCTAACTGCACATGCTGGCTTGACGAAACGAGCAGGCCAAAGGGAACGAAGACTCTGGGTACGAGGGTGGTTTAAGCATCCGTTTGTTTGTTTATTTTCCAATTTTCTACACAGAATTTTGGAAATAGCAGTTAAATATCATCGGTTATGCATACATTGCGTGCCGTTTATTTTAAAACGTTAACCATGTATGTCTGATAATGTTAACAATTTTATCTCAAAGTTTCATTAGCATTGATACACTGGAACACTTTTAAATTTGTCGCTCAAACCCACGAAAAAGTTGCTTTACAAAATCGCGATATAAAAAATATTATGCTAAAATATTCAGATCTATGTGTGTACCATTCCTTCGTGATCAAAACGTTCCGTTGATGCATATTCTTAAATATAATAATTCGTTTTATTCCTGATTGACTTAATGTATTGACAACATTACTAGAACGCAATTTTTAGCCCTTTTTCCCCTAGAAGATTTACTATTTTCCCCAATATCTTCCTGTTCTTTGTCACTCCAGGTGGAGCTTTGGAATTCTTTGTAAAGAGTTTCTTTCGCTGGAATGGAAAGAAGGGCCAAAAGTCCCCTTGATCCTTATTTCCAAAAACATCCCGCAAATTTGCATTCAGGTAGTGTAGCGAAATGTATTGATCACGGGAAAATGTTGCACCTGAATATTTTAGTATAATTTTCTTACATCGGGGTTTTGTAACGCAACTTTTTCGTGGGTTCGACGGCTACTTCATTGACAAATTTAAAAGTGTTCCAGTGTATCAATGCTAATGAAACTTTGGAATAAAATTATTAACATTATCAGGCATACATGGTTAACGTTTAAAAAAAAAATCTATCGAGCCGTTTTTAAGATTTTCAAAAAAGCGCTTAAAAGCGCTTTTTTGAAAATCTTAAAAAATCAAAAATTGCTCTAAATTTGTTATGGAAGTGGTGTTGAGAAAAAGTCTCGTTCTCGAGATCAAGAAAACACAAACCGACAAAACTTTCATGGCTCAAAACATAACGTCAAGGCATATTTCGGTGTCTTTTGGAGCAATTTCATTAAAAGTGTTTTTCTATCAGTCCATTTAATTTCATGAAACGAAAAGCGTGGTTTGAAGTGTTTTCGCGATTTATTCAAAATTAAACATACAGTATTTTTTTTATTCTTCCATACACCCCTTGCCATACATCGTTATTTCCGAAATTGGCATCAGCCTTTCTATAACAGATCTGGTTCGTACAAAATTCATGCTTTCCTGATTTTCTTTTTCTTGGTTTATCGTTTCCATGGAAATATTGATTACCTTAAAAAACACATTCAACCAAACTTCAATCTTTTTCCAAAAGCTGGTGTAATTTTCACATCGATCGGACTAAGGGAAGGTTGGTAAAAAGCCAATTGAAAATGCTAGGTAGAGGGGGGGGCAAGGGGGGGTCTTGTCACGAAGTCACGATAGTAAATTTTCGATATCACGAATCACGAAACAAAAAATTCACTTTTCACGAACATGTGCACGAAACTGTAATTATTTGAAATCTTAATTTGTTGGTTTTACTTTAAGAGACCTCTTAAGAGAAATATCGGACTTGGACAGCTATTCCACTGCGAGTTGTTACGGCTCTTAGGAAGGTTAGAGTATCATCGTCGTTGTCACTTTCCACGGCATCGTCAGGTCCACTGTCTGTGTCATACTGCACATCATCTTCTGGGACTTCGGGGGCTTCAGACACTTCAGGATGAGCGAAGGTGACTTCTTGCTCTTGCTCTTCTTGTTCATCGACGATTGGTGGAACAGCTGGCTGATACTGCGCGGGAGGTTCAAGGTAGATCTTGTCCTTTGGGTAGGCAGAATCTGCTGGACAATACATATTCAAAGGCAAAGTGCCAGCCTTGAACTTCGTTGTTTCTTGCCTCACAGTTCTCTGTCGAACGCACTTGGCATGCTGAACTGCCCATTCTCTCATGATCTG